ATTTAAATTTTCTGCTAAAATTGACTTTAATTAACACCCGGACAGCAACTCAGCTTGCGCCAGATACGCCTCTAGTTAGATGGGCGGGGCAGGTCAGTTCTATTTGGAGTCCATATGAAGGCGCACTTAAAGTAAAACATCCAAAAAAAAGTCCCTTTGCATTTTTTCAAAATGAAGCGACAAAAATTCATATTTTCACACAAAATTTTAGTTATTCAAAGCTTCTATGCAATTTTTAAGAAATTAATAACAATAATTCAAACCGAATCTAGCATAAGACTTAACTACGTATAGATATAAAAACTTGGCAATTATTCATTAGAAAATTTAAAATTTTGTCTTCTTAAAGAATTTAACAATTTATTCAACTGGTCGAAAAATGTTTGCAAAAGTTAAAAAAAAGTGTTAAAATATTTTTGCAATATTTTTTTTGACTATGCAATGTATGATTCCAAGCCATAGATACTATAGCTAGGCAAATTTCATTATAGCATAGTCTTAAAATGAAACTAAAAAGCGCAAAAAGCGCTTCGGTCAACTTAAGAAAGCTGCTCTGTTAAATTCTCTCAGAATTTGTGACTTTTCTGGAGAGCCCGAAGAAAAATTTCATTTGCAATTAAGTGTGAGCAACAAGCGGGTGCTAGACTTTTGCTGGGTATTGAAAATAAATTCAAAAACTTTAACATTTTTAGCGACTATGTCTTAAGCTTGCCAAAGGAAGGGGAGTGGCTGGGCTGATAAAATGCCTTGTATTTCATTTTCAGCGTTTAGTGCATTATTCTGTGCGTTGCATGTGTGTGTGTGGGTGTCAGTGTGTGTGTGTGTGGCAGCTGGCTGCCAGGTAAAGTTAGTGTTACCTTGTTTGCCGCCAGTGAAGAAGTTTTGCAAGTTGTCGGCAGGCGCTCGTGTTGCCTAAACAGATTAAACTCTGAACACATGTGCGCCTGCAATTTTACGCGCCGTCGCTGCGCAGGCTTCCGCATCCGTTGCCGTTACCGTTGCCGCTGCCGTTGGTGCTGTTGGTGGTGTTGGTGGTGTCGGTTGTTCAGCCACAGCCACTGCCAGGGGCTTCACATAACCGCCACATTAATTCCTAGTGCCAGACACCTTTCTCGTTAGCGGTTGGCCCCAACTTATTTAATTTCACAAGCAGCTCCAGCCCCAACTTTAACTCTACCGCCCCGCTGAAAGTTAAATAGCATTCAAATTCAAATTGTTGGCATTTGGTTGGCTTATTTAATTATCGAATATGTTGCCTGCAACAGTTTGTTCAGTTTGTGGACGACATTCGCTCAAACTTGCTCACGTTCCACCTGACCCGACCTGGCCACTGGGGACACTTTTTTCCATTCTTTAATCTTAATTCTTTCTTTTTATTTTTGCAAAATTTATGCCCTGTGTAGGATTTGCACGCAAGGCTAACGAATGCGCATACGTGCGATCACGTAAACTTAGATAAGGTACGAACTATGCTGGATGAATGTAATCGAGATATCTTTCGAATGCTTACTCCACTTTGCAGCGAAGTGAATTATTTAACAAGAGGACAAAATAGTTGTTGCCAACTTTGTGAACTGCCTTTAAAAATTGCTATAAATTAAAAGCTTAAAACAAAAAAAGCAAAGCATTTTTTCAATATACTTTTGTTGTAAGTCAAGACCTATTCTGAATGTGAAACTTTTAAATATATAATAAGACCTGGTCATTATCGCTTCATTTATAATGAGAATTTTATTCTTTAAATGCGACACGAAATATATTTATTTAAATTGAAATCGAGCGGCAGCCACTAGCCATCCACCCACTTCAGTTACAAATGATTTTAATGTAATGCAAATTTCAACTAAACTGAAATAATACAAAAAGACTTCCAAAAGAATAGTTCGGAATTCCGGCATCGAAGGCGAAATGCGACTTTTGACTGAAATGCCTTCGGCATAATTAAGCTCTGTGTGGAATTTCATTATAAAATTCGCAGACATTTTGCCAGATGCGAACGATTTGACGCTCTTCAGCTCGTCTTCTGGCTGGGGGCAAAAGTTTTCCAATGCAGCGACCTTAACTTGAGCAGCTCCTTATGTAGTTGTAGTGCAATCATTTTGGCTTAAGCTGAATTTTCATTGAAATCGGCTCGTTAAGCGATAATTTTCCTTATGAAACTCAATTTGCCCAACGGTTCAATGTGCGAGTGTGTGAGAGAATGTGTGTGTGCCCTTTGACCGAGTTGATTTTTCACAATTTCCGGCCAGGCGAGAGCTGCGCTGTCGACTGGGCGGAAACGTAATTTGGCTTTTGGCCATTATTTTCGGCACTGACCACAAAGCCAAAGTCCGTTGCAGCACCCAGCACGAGCTGGTTGGTTGAAGAGCGGCAGAACGACGGCTTGGCGCCTCATCATAATCGAAGCCACGAAATTGAAGTACTGCGGCACACAATGCGGTTTCCGTTGACTGCTGATTGGCTTCCGTTTCCGCTAATTTTTGAAAGTCGGCATCGATTCACGGCCCGCATTGTTTCAGCCATATCCAATGGCAACTGTTGTTATTGTCCTGGCAGGCAGGCAACAAAGCACCGCCAGCTTAGTTGATTACACAGAAAACTTGCCCAAAAAACCAGCAACTACTTATACCCGGCTGAGAGTTGTAACAAAAGTAATCCTAAAGCAATATCAGCTTTCTAGCCATACGCAGAAAATAGAAAAAGAACTGCCGAAGGAGTTAGAAATGAGTTGGAAGTACTCATACGTAATTATATGGAAGGCTAACTGAGCTTTAAAAGGCATATGCTTATAAAAATAGTTTTAGAATGCTTGAAGAAAATATACTTTAATTAAATAATGTTATATATATAAAAATGTTTTGTATGTTTCGTACAATAAAATTCGAAAGCATAGGCTCTCTGAAAATTACTATTTTAAATATATATATTTTTATATTTTCCAATGCGAATTCAGCTTCCAAAGTCTTAGTCTTATCGTCATTTCATAAATAAATCAGATTAATATTTAATCACAGACTCTAATAGTGTCCAGCTATACAACATGCAATTTGAATACTATTTGAAATTTTCCTCTAAATTGAGCAAGAAGTGAGAAGAGTGAATTGAGATACAAACTGTGCCCGAGGCAATCGTTGCGATTCATGTGCGTCCGTTCGGTTGGCTCATTTTATTGCTGCATATTCTTTATGTAAGCATATCAAAAATGTGTTTCCAAATAGAAATTTAAAACCTTATTACTCGCAAGGCAAAGGGAAAAAATGAAGTATATATATACATATATATATATATATATATAAATATTTTATGGCAAAAATATTGCAGCTGGAAGAGGGACAATATATGTAGATACATTTAGCCGAACTGACCCCATGCCCGGGCACACAGCTGGGTCAGACTCGGACCTGGGCCAAATCTAGGCGCCTGCACGGACTCCTCGAACACACACTTAAAGTCTAAACTCGGCGCATCGCCTTTTATTCTCTTCGTCTTTTTTTGTTCTGTTCGCTTTTCTTTCTTTAAATTGTGTAACAAATTGTTCCCCGAGGACGAATTTGGATTAAGTAAAAAAAGGGTTTATTTACGATGCCATACATAACACGGGGCCGCATCGACCGGCTGCAGGGCCTGTCTGCTGTGCCTTAGCCCGAACTGGCCTTCACTCAATGTTTTCTTTTTTTTGCCATCCTTTTCTTATTTTATTTTCCCCCTTTTTTTATTACGTGCCCAATACTCAATTTGGGGCATATTTAAATTCATCGTCTATTGACGGCAGCCGGCGGGCATTTCGTATGCACATGAAAAGCTAAAGTTGGCAGCGTTTCGGTTAGATCTATTGAGTGGTTATTTGAACTGAACTTTGAGGTTGAATTCGCTTCATTTTTATGTTATTTATATGTGTACGGCTGGCCCCTCAGACCAAAGTGTTGAAGCAAAATGAAATACAAGCTAACCAAAAGGCAAATTTGCCAGGCCAATATTATACAACATAAATTTCACACACACATGAATATTATATAAATATACATAAACTTATATACGATACTTACATATGTATCTTATGTAGGTAAAAACTTGTTTACCAAAACGCTTAACTGCCTTTTCTTACACTGCCACATCAGATATTTGCCCTGATAATCAAACGAGAGGGAAAGAGAGCGAGTGTGAGAGAACAATTTAGCAGCAGTTGAGTTGAGATGCGCGACCCGGCGGCATCTTGATAATATTTCGATTTATACCCACGCGCTTTGCAGCTACCCCAGAACAGCGCCCGGTTTCTGGTATTCGTTGTCATTGTTTTTAGCAAAACAGTTTTAACTTTTTGCCACACAACCGAAACTGTCAAACAGCGTAAACTTCAAACTGAAACGAGTCGGAACTGATGGCACCTGAGCTCCCAGTTGAGCGCCATGAGCCACGACCTATCCGAGAGCTGGAAGCCGCCCCCCTTAGTAGCGGGTTCATTTAGTTGGGCTGTCAAGGCTTTTGCGCTCAATTTGGCAGACAACAACGCAATCATTGCGAATAAGTTTTCAACTGTGACGCCAGCAAACGTTCACCTACATTGACAGCGTATCCTATTACAGTATTTTTTTACTGTGTGAATCCCCAGCTATAGACATATGTATAGCTATAGATATAGCTATAGATATAGATATAGATATAGATATAGATATAGATATAGATATAGATATAGATATAGATATAGATATAGATATAGATATAGATATAGATATAGATATAGATATAGATATAGATATAGATATAGATATAGATATAGATATAGATATAGATATAGATATAGATATACATGTATACATATATATATAGACAAACATATACATAATGATAAAGAAACACTTTTAAATTTAAATAAATAAACAATCCTTAATTAAAATTCGTTGGCAAGTAGATAATATTGATATTGGTTATCTTCTAAATACACATATAAATTCTCCATAAATACAAGACTCCAATGGAGATCAGTTCAGTCAGATCGAGACCTCTATTGCTTGCGGTCCACAAGATGTTTGTTCATTCGACTTGTGTTGCTATTTTAATTATTTTATGTAGTCTTCGCTGTGATTGTAGTCAAATATACGGTCTAAATGAGACTAAAGCCTTAATTGAAATAAAAGCGCAGTTGGCAGAGCTGCGGTGGGTTCCTCATGGAGTATGATTAACTAATGGATATTTACAGACAATTTCCACTTGTTTTGTAGATTGGAGGAAGAGAAACAAGGAAATCAATTAGAAGAAATTTTATGGAGACTCAATCCTCTTAATATAGGCACATATAAACGCAGTTGTCTCGAAGCAGCTCCAGCTTCTAGCGGTATATTCATGATCCGTATACCAGGATATAGTAATCAGCCGTTCAAAGTCGTCTGTGAGGAAACCGACCACGGCTCTGGTTGGACTGTCATTCTACGACGCCAGGACGGCAGTGTTGACTTCTATAGGAATTGGAATGACTACAAAAATGGATTTGGTAACCTGAATGGAGAATTTTTTCTTGGCTTCGACAAGATACATGCATTAACTGCCGATCAAAGTCAGCAGTTGCTTGTGCTACTCGAGGACGGCGATGGTCAGAAAAGGTATGAAAAGTATGACAGATTCGCAGTGGGTGATGAGTTGGAGTCCTATGCCTTGCACACACTGGGAAAGGCCGAAGGAAGTGCTGGTGACTCGCTAAGAAAACACCTTGGTCTTCGATTTTCGACCTATGACAAGTCGAACGGTGTTGACCCTCGAAACTGTGCCGTCCTTTACACGGGCGCTTGGTGGTATCAGAGATGCCATGAAAGGTTTGCATGAATTGAATGTTTCTTCTGTTTTAAAAGCATAACTAACGGCATGATTTGTCTAGCCATCTCACTGGAAAATATGGGGATAACACCAGTGGAAAGGGCATCAATTGGTTCTCTTTTCGGGGTCACCTGCACTCACTGAAATATGCCGTTATGATGGTACGGCCGATTAAGTAATGATTGCTTTTGATTTTCTTTACTTCATTAACTGAAATAATAATTATACAAGAATGAAAGAAACTTGAAATAAAACAAACCTTCCCTTCAGGAATGTTCGACTTTATAATACTCTGAGTTCTCCTCAATATCCTAATTTCCCGTATCCATATATATCCTTCCCTCTGGGAGTCAACTCTTAGCAATGTGTATTATTTCAGCTGAAAATGCGTATTCGATTAACTAATTAAGAAATACACAAACGAAGCCAATTAGCTGAGCTGAGCGGAAATTAAAAAGACAAAAATGCTGAAAAAAGTAAACAGAAATAAAGCCTTGAATATGGTGAGCTGTAGAGTGCATCTGCTTACCTGCTTTACCTTTCTTCGAGTCGGCACCTATTTGGCTTGGCAATTAGCATACTCCTGTGCACTTGTGCAACCAGTTGCGGCCACATTCGCAATACCATTGAACCGCAATGGAGGCACATAAAGCGCGCATTGAAAATTAATTGCAGCTCTCTGCCTGAATGTGTGTGCCCCATGTGCAAATGTGAGTGCGTGAGTGCTGAACCGTTTGAGCACCGTCAATCTCCTTTTCGCATTGTTGATGACGATGATGTAGCCGCCACTGCCAAAACAGTCAGAGGAGCTGGCAACGGTAACCAGCGGCGTGGCATGCAGCCGTCCAAAACCCGCTTCGCGGTTTGCCTTTTATGAAAAATTAATTTGCTTTTTGTGTTCAGCAATAATATTTTACTCTTTTTTTGCGGTGCCGCTGCACCCCAACCCTACCCAGGGTATACGCCTTGACTGTGCTGCCAATCAGAGCGTATGATTAATTTTTCGTCGCAGTGCCCACCAAAATTTGTTTAATGTGTGTGTGACTGGTTGATTGTGTGTGTTTTCGTGTGTATTACATGCTCTTTTCTGTAAAGAGTTCAAATGTCTTAAGCTTTAAGCTAAACGTTTGTTTTTCAGCTCGTTTTTGGGTGAGTTTTAACGTACCACATTTGAAAGAAATTTCTGGTGTACATCAAATTGTTTTCCAACTCTGATAAATCAGCCATCATAACGTTTCTACATTTACGTGCTGCAGATGCTTAACTGGATTATTTATATTAATTAAAAATAAAAATAAAATAAACATAAATAAACATAACATGCTGAAGGAACGAAAGAAGTGTACTTGAGCTTAAGAACTCAGCTCTAACACTATGTTTAGCCGAAGGATACACACTACAGTCAGTCACACTACTCTACGCACTATACTCTACAACTACACACTACACCCTACAATTGTACCACTGTCACTTGAATACTCACTCACACAGCTAGATATAACCACCCCTCTTTATCACTTTCATAGAGGGTATTTAAGCGAGGCGGCCGCAGCAGCAGCTTGAGCAACACCCAGCAACACTTTCCATGGTCATGCACAGTTATTTGCAACACAACAGACAACAGACAATGCATATTTCTGCAATGCCACAACGAGGACAAAAAGTTGGTGGCAACTTCTTGGTAAAGTTTTGCGAATGCCGCGGCGTCTGCTCGTTTTCTTCTTCATTTTTCTGTTGCTGTCTTTCTAGAGTTTTGCGCTCGCACACATTTCACATTAGAAAAACCACAAAATTATGCAACACAATATGAAATGCATTTGAGAGACAAGTGAATCTTGTCAAGTGCCACAGTGGCAAGCACGAAGCGACTCCGGCTCCGGCTCCGGTTCCGGGCCAGGACGGGCAGACGGCAGACAGCAGACTAGGACTCGCAGTAGGACTATGGCCCCAGCGTCAGAGCAGAACACTTGAGTTGGCGCTTTAATCAAAAGTCAAATATTTCATGCAATGCGACAAGCATTCGTGAATGGCTGTGTGTGTGTGAGTGTGAGTGGATGGGTGCTTGGGGTGTTTGGCCTGCTTTGGGTGGCGCTGCATCTGCTTTAACAGCAGGCAGCTGCTGTCAGCATACAAATGCAATGCTGCTAACCCACACAATAGACGCCAACGAAGACGACGACGACGACATTCACCCCGCCTACAAATTTGAGTGGCTGAAAAATCTGGAAAGCGGGATGCAGTGGCTCGGCAGCTGCCTCGCATGCCTGTGCACTTGCAGCCACTTTGAATTTGGATGGCAATGGGCGGCGCTGCTCTGCACGGCTCTTTCATGGAAATTACATTTTTGCATTCTGGCGTCGCTGCTTCTCAAGTAAATGCAAATATTTCTCATTTCTTTTACAATACAAGAAGAAAAAAACTTATAAAAAAGGCAAGAAATTGTCAAATGTATTCAAAATGTGCGCCGCATGCGAAATCTTTTTGAATATTTATACACAATCGCACACACGCATTTCATTTAAATTCCAGAGCAAATGATTTTCTTGGAAATTTTGGGATTACAGCTACAACATTTCAAGGCCAATTCTAACAAATTGGTTTAAGCTTCAATGCTCGACTCGCAAACACAAATTGCCTTTGATTCATTTTCACACATTTTCCATGTTGAGACAGCTGCAATTAAAAAGTAGCTCAGATTCAAATATTGCAATTAAAAAGATTTTAAGTTTGATCAAAATTATTTTTACTATGCGAGATGTCAGGCGTACGTTAGGTAGCTTGTTTGAAATGTAAGCTGTCGAAACAATGATAATTACACAGGTCAATAATTTTCTCTAAAATTCTGGTAATCGATAAGCTAACTTTTTGTTGCAGGAGACATGGCTTTGAGCAGGCTGCAAAGTGAATGTTGGACAATAGTTCATTAAATTCAAGAACTTTTTTTGTTATTTATATGTACTTTTTTTAGTAGAGTAGTTATAGTTATAAGGTAGTTCGCTCGCTTCTTTACTTTATTTAATCATATTCCTCTTCTTATTAAATAAAATTCAATTCCAGCACAAACTACAAGTAAAACTAAAGCTTTGCTGTTCCCCTCACCCGCTGTCTCCGCAATATGCCTTTAATTTCTACTCCAATTCATACTTGAACTGCTCTCAAAGCTGATCCATGTACAGCCGCATTGGCCTAATCTAATCTCCATCAGCTTAGCTGTAAATTCCCTAAAATGTAGCTTAAATTTTTGTGCTATTTGTAAATTGTGACAATGCAGTGTGCAGTCGGGCGTGCACACAATGCCGAGGCAATTAATTACCAATGCATTTATAATTCCAAATTGTGGCTTTGGTTGAGCTGCTTTTGTGTGCAGTTCATATAGAATTTTTAAAAGGTTTTTTTTTTAATTAAACTAATTGTGCCAAAAGAGTGCCCACAAAAATTGAAATACAAAAAAAAAAGACACAATTGTGCATAGAACAAAAGAAAAATATTTTCAAAAAGTTATTCAGCCGAAGTCCGAAATTAATATTGTTTTTATATATATTTTTAATGCAATTATAATAACAAATACTGTTGCATTAGATGTATAACACACACACTCACACTCACTTACTCACAAAAACCAAAATGAATGCGCGCACGTGGCGTATGCGTAATGCCATCAAGCATACACCCAGCACTTAAATAATGAAAGGGTTTAGGCCATAAAAAAGAATAAGAATAAGAATAAGAAGATACCTAAAGTCGTTGACGCACTTCATTTACGTTTTTATGACTAAATTTTATTGTTTTTGCCTTAACCCTTTTCTTTTTTTAATGCTAAAAGCAGGCATTAGCCTGGAGTAACTTGGGCTTAGTTCTTAAAACGTATTTTTTATGGCCAAAGCTTTTCGCTCTTATCAAACTGCATAATTGGCGTAATTAAAATTATTAAATTTCCCCAATCTGGCTTTTTCTGCATTATTTACAAAGATTATTCTTTTTTAATGCGAATTTGTATTTAATTTAATTCATAAGTTACATAGCTTGAATCTGAATGATACTTCATTTAAAACTCAATTTATGATTATTTCCACACAATTTAATTTCGTAATTGATTTATTCATTTCATTTTGCTGCTTATCAGCAACTATGAGAGTGACAATCAAAGCAAGGAAATATATACACATGGTATCACAGAGAGAAAAATGCATACAAATTGAATGTGTTTTTTGTGTACTCTCTTTTGTGCTCTATAATATATAAAGGCAGGTATAAAAACACTCACGTTAACTTGAAATTCGTTTAAAATACTGCGTTCGATTCGTAAAAGGGTTGCTTCGCCCAACAGAATTTTTATAAATGCAAGACATATAGATTTAAATTAATCTACAGATTAAATTAAATTGGCTATCTACTTCAAACATGTTTATCATCAAAGAACTAAGTACAGAACAACAAAGAATCGAACTTGTTATTATCTTAGACTATAGTATAGACCATTTTCTGTAAGATTTTGTAGTCTTTCTCTACAAAGAACCAATTGTGTACAGGATAATTTTTTTTATTAGAATTTTATGTCAGTTTCAGTTAGTGTACATTATACAGTCTGCCTATATCATGAACTTTTTTTTTAGGATAACAGTCGGTCACATACGTCAGGAAGAAATTGAACCTTTTGCCTCGTTATAGATCAGTCTTCTTCTAGAAATTACAGGATAACAGCCAGTCGACCATGTTCATCGACTCTCACTTAAAGCTGTTTGGCTTTTTAGGGCTTTGTTGCTGCTGAAAAATAAACAGTTGCGTTTTTCATATGATTAAATGTTGAATGGGCAGCAGAGATGCTGAATTACAAACTGATTAAAAATGTATGCAAATGTGTACGTAATTAAATAAATTAATTAAGCGCCGCCAACGCTGGGCAGTGCTGGGCAGGCACAAGTGTCAGATGGTAAGGCTGAACGGGACCCCAGTCACTTGACAACCAGCCAACAAACAAACAAACTACAACAACAACAGCAACATAAATGGCCACAACTGAAATAACAAAGCAGCTGTTTTAAAAAGCAAATTGAAATTGTTCGCCATTTGTATCAGGTCTTTACAGCAGTTGTTGTTGCTGTTGCTGCTGCTGCTGTTGCTGTAATTGTGCAGTTTATTTTACCATTTCCCATTCAAGTGCAAATTAAATGCACAGCAACAGCAGCAACAGCAATAGTAACAGCGACAGCGACATCGACGACCTTTGTCCTTTGACACGCCACAGCAGCTGCAGTTCATTTAACCCTCGGGGACAACTCACAGTTCACTTCGCCCTCGCACTTCATTTTGCGCTCTTGTCATGTCATCAATGTCACATAATTGTTACCGGATAACTAGCCCCGGAGCCACAACTACAGTTGTTCCTAGACTGCCCACTTCAACAACTATTCAAGCTCTTTGCCAAATTGTAAATTTCATTCGTGGTCCTGCATTGGGATTTACTATTCCTTATTTATGATATTTTTGTACATTATTTATTATATTTTTGCCAAACACCAAGACCAAAATTTATTGCACACAATTCCAATTGCAATAAACCAAAAAATATTCAAATCCGAAGAGACTCAAGAGGCGAGTCATAGGGTCATCAATTAAAAATATATATTTATTACTATAAAAAATATTAAAATTGATTTAAGAATTTAGAAGTAAAAAAAAATTAATACGAATTTAATTTGCTAAATATTAAGATGGCTAAGTGACTAATTATAAAAAGTTAAACTTTTCTTATTAATTTATTTTTTTATTTTAATTATAAAAAGTTAAACTTTTCTTATCAATTTATTTTTTGTTATTTTTTAATTTTTTTTATTTAGGAAATCCTTTTTTTAATTAATAATTAATAATTTAATGTGATTATTTAAAATATATATTTAAATATATCTTAATATATAAATTTTAAAGGCAATCATTTTTCCATCTAAGCACATAAATATCTTAGGTAATAATCTAAAAATAAGAACGTAAATCATGCTGTTAACATTAGCGCATGTTTGTCTGCTTACAAACGCGACATGGCTAAGGTTTCAATTGCTGCTCAAACCACGCATCGAAAAGTCTTATACAACCACCCTTGCTGGCATAACATCAACCCCCACCATGCCTGCTCACCCCGCACTCAGCAACGTTTACATTCCACACGGCAACAATTTTGTCGCTTTGCTCTCGCTTATGTTGCGAGCAGTCGTGGTGGCTAACGTCGTTTGAATCTGAGCTGCTAACCGTCTGTGGAGACTATTAACAGAGTCTGTTACTAACAGAGACTGTTAACAGACAGTCGTTGAATGCAATTGGGGTGGTTGATGGATGGGGTATGAATTTAGGTGTGCTTTATTTAATGGGAAACTGTCTAAGGAGATAGCTATATATATTCCTGTTCCGATCAAATGTGATTTCATATTATATACATATATTATCCAGCTGAACTAAACTTTTTAATTACTATTTTTATTTTTTTTATTTATTTTATTTTATTTATTATTTTTTTTAATGTATTTATTGAATTAAATAAATTTCAGCTTAAAGCCGAATGTCAAAGTTTGACTAACTGATTAGCTGAATATATCTGGTTGGTAGATGCATGCATAACCAATTTCGACAATTATCTGTCTGACATTTTAATGGGCAGCAGCACTATTTGAATCAATATGCAAAGAACAACACATTTTGATTAAGCAAAGCCCAGCAAATGCCTGAATATTCAATGCAATACATGTTCGAGAGTCTGGCCAGAAGAAAACCGAACCCAAGCATCATGCTCATCATCAAATTGGATTGACATGTGAGATTCAGCTTGCATTTTGTCAGGCCAGCTCTTTGTATGCACATATGTGTCAGTGTGTGTGTGTGTGTGTAATAGTGTTTGTGTCTATTCATGTGTATGAATCATGTAGCCGAAGCCATGTGAACGAACTTCGGCCGCAATAAATTCTAAATTGAACTAAACTAAGGAGCACACAGCACTTACATTTCCAGGCAGTCCTTTGAATCAACACACAACTAACTGTGTGTGTGTGTGTATCCCTGGGGATTGTAAGTTCAGATTGCATTGCGTTTATTTGCAAAGACTTCACTACGAAAGTCAATTGACTCAATAAATTATTTTTAAAGCAATCAATGCAGCTTTAGCGAGAAAAAACTAATTCAAAAAATTTTCAGTTTATATGTAGATATTTGCACCATATGCACCAATACACTGGACGAAATTAATTGTCGCAAAAGATATATACAAAATATTATATATTATATTTTTTATAATAAACTATATAAATGAATAAATTTTATATAAAATATTGTTTTGAATTCTAAATTTAAAAAGGCATTTGAAGCCCTATCAAAATTTCATTTAATATAATCCGAAATCGAAAGCTAAACTTAAATTATTTTCTTATTATGCTTTGACTCGTGAAAGATGCTGTCTATTCATTCAACCTAAAGCCACACGAGCAGCGCAACAGACAATGTCTCGCAGCCACAAATATACGTATTTTAATTGTGTTTGAGCAGCAGGTAGATGGGATAAGCAGTTTGATATATATTCAATTAATATGTGCAACATGACAATTGGGGCGGTGTGCACAGTGGGGCAATGCTTCAGTTGTGAAATTAGCCAAATTATTGGAGTAAACAGGGCGAGTCGACAAGTCGTCTTGTTTGCGCTTAAAATTTAATTTCACGCACAATTGAGTCCATGCATAATTTTGACCGGGGTGATAAATTATTGCTGTTATTGCACACGGAGGCAGGCGCACGCACAAAACAAGAAACAGACCCCAGAATCGACCGCAGGCAGACCCGGGCAACCGGCGCCCGAGCAGGCGCTGCAGAATAATGACCCCACCTAACGGCGCCTACTACCCAAAGCCCTTCTGATGCAGTCCTGCTGCATTCAGAGCGTCGCACAGTGGGGCAGGTATGTACTAATGTGAACAGAAATAAATGTGAGTCAACTTGTACAAAGCAATATATCTATTCTAATTTTACTCTTCTTGCGCTACTCTCTTGCCTCTCTTTCCTCTCTTCTCCCTCCTCTTTTGTCTTCTATCATCTCTCTTTCTCTTTTCTCTCTTCTATGTTTTTTTCTTTTCTTTTTCTTGCTTCTCTCTTCTTTCTTATTCCTTGTTTCTTCTATCTTTATTCTTCTCTCTCCTTTCTATTGTCAACATTCTCTTTTCTATCTTCTAGCTCCACCCTTGGCTCTTTTCTCTGTTTTTCACCGTACCCCTTCTCTCTTCTGTCGTCTTTGTTTTTTATTCTCTCTTGTCTTTCCTCTTTTTTAACTTCTCTCTAGTCTCTTCTTTGGGTTAATTTCTCCCTTTCAAAGGCTTCTAATCTTGACACTAATAAAAAATATTTAGCTTGTTTTTAACTAAAGTAAAAGAAAGTTCCACTGTGCTTCGTGGTTCCTGTCGCCTGTGCGGCTGCTCGTTTGCTGCGTTCATTAATTCGCTGCCATAAAATAGCCTGCGGGAGGGGTAGCATATTTTGCTTTGCTTGCATTTGCATACTTTCAGGGAGTAGGCACCTGTTACCGCGACCAGGACGTGGTGCTCGTCCTGGTGCCAGCCGCAGTTCAAACTCCGCATACGCCTACAACACATGTCTGCTCATAATTAATGTGTAAATTGTAAAGCTGCGCTCGCCTTCCTTTCCTTCGCTGCGGCCGTGTACAACCAGCTCGACAACAAGTGAGTGTGCAGGGAGAGGACGAGAACGAGAAGAGACGAGCAGTAGTAGGGGGCATTCTGTAGGCAGCCCTATTCTAGTTAATACAAAAACAACAACAACAACAACAACAATGGAAACAACAACAACATCAATAAACGACTCTGACCTGGTACATGCTGGGCCAAAATGCGTTTTGACGTTGCGCAAAGCTTAATTGCATTTGGCTCTACGCTCCATGGCCAGATCGGTGCACCTGGACGCAGGTGGGCCAAAGCGATTTGGCGCATGGACAACGACAATTTATTTATGCTTTCCACGGGCTTAAATTGTTTTACCTTGACTACGATAAATTAATGAACTTGCAAAGCGACTACAATATCATATTAAATCAACATAGAAACAAAGTATTTCTAAGGCAGGTCGAAGAATAATTGCATTTGATGTGTATATAATATATATACGAGCAGGAGAAGTATTACATGAAAATTTTACTTCTATATAGTAACGTATGCAAGTTAAAACAAATTGTAGCTGAAAATATGGTTTGATTCAAACAAATAAAATAAAAATTGTACTACTCTAATATATAATAACTGTTTTTTTTCTGATATACTTAAGATATTGTTTCTGTACTTAAGATATTGTTTCAAAACTAAGTTATGAACTAAATTATGTTCCCAAGCTAAAATATTTCCATAAAAAAACTAATCGACTATCAAGATGTTTCCTAGATAGCTAAATAATCTAGTTGGCAAATCTTGCACGAATTATTGAAGTTGTTAGTACTGCTAGTTTTCTAATATTATAAAGTTTGTAATATATGATGAATACATAACAAAAGGATCTACAAAGGCTATTGACATTAATGTCTATAAGTGAATGAAAATGCTTAAAGGATGCAGAATTAGGTACAAACGATCGCTCTGCTTGCATGCATATAATGATATATACTTTAAGGGTTTGCTATAGTTTCCTATTACATAAACCTAGTCAAATTTTCAAATACAAAAGATTTTGCTGCAGAGAAAAGTAATTTTCTATATTATAAGCAAAAGTTTTCAGCATTCTTTCTCCTCCCCAAATGATCCAAAGAAGCATCTGCAGATATTAAACAAAAAGCTTCAAAAGTTATATAAATAAATATTTATCAATACAGTTATATTTCTTATAATTTATAATTGGTTACACATTTCCTATTAAAAGTATTAGAAACTATTAAAAAATGTTGATATATTGCTATGGTTAAAGTTAATCATAAAAGCTTAAATCTGTTTTGCGAATTTCATAGGGCAACGCTGGATCATTATAACCTAGTGCACGGAATTCCGAAATTTTGTGAAAAAGCTTACAATATGTTCGATATACCAAATGCGTTGACATGCTGCTCGACATGTCGAAAATCATTTGATTTGGCATCACCCGAACGCGATTTATGGCAAATGCCAGCTGAAGCAGTGCCAGGTCATCGGTCAATATATTCCTCAAATACTCCACCGGATTTCTGGGCCGATCGGCGCTGTACCAAACCAATAGCAAACGGAGATTCGACAAGTCACGAATCGTCTGTGGCGCAGAACAACTCTGCAACTGAGCCTCAACGCTGGTTGGCTTCACTGTGGAATAAACCAAAATGGATTTGTATATAGCCTTAAAGCACTGCAGTCGCTCCACTTACCCAAAATGCAATTGCTTAACGCGACAAGTGCTAACAGCGTAACTGCAAATATTATACTGTGCTGCATGGCTAAAACGTGTGAATGGTTACAATGCACAGCATCGACTGTGAGGCACTGAACGATTCGTGGCGTTAATATACTTTGCCGGGACATGACGTCATGCAGCGAAAGAAATAGTAAATATTTACAAGCAATTGCTCGAGAAATCTCGAATACTCATAGCATCTACAGGTGGCAAACGAACGTTGGGAATACCGGCCTTATCACTGTCATTTGCTGGCTTCGTATGCATCAAAGACTTGCGTATGAATGAGGCGAAATTTGATAAGTTCGATAAGGGTTATGTAAAAAAGAAGTATAAAGTGAAGAAAACTAATACTAAAAATGTAAAATAGTTTTATAATAAGTTAATACAAAAAGAAAGTTATCTGCAAACTGTTGAGAATATTGTTATAAATATTGTTAAAAAATATAAATATTGTTATAAAAATAAAAGTTTAGCTCGCATATAAATACTTTTTTTGAAGTTTCTTAGGAAAACAAAAAACATTCTTTTAAATAAACTTAATTTTTAATTTTAATTATTTTCATTTCTGTTTTCCGATAATCAAATCATTTCAATCATCAAATCATTTCCGTAATAACACTCACATGTGCACTTAACTGCTGATTCTACTATGCAGTCAGGTCAGTCAGTCAGTCAAGTGAGTAGTCCTCATAAATTATTTCAGACTAATATGTTATATCTTATGTAAACATACACACATGTAAATATATATATATATATAAAGATGAGAACACAAGTGAATGCTCAGTGAGCAAGCACAAATTATTGTCTTTACATTATTAAAGTAAGCATCTTTAGGTGATTCACTTTTGAATCACAGTTTGATCACGTCCCAACTGGAAGCAAGCAGATAGCTTTTAGGAGCATAAGTAAACAAATTCAGTTACCCTAGAAAATAAAAAAATAATAAATATAAGTGTTGACCGCATTATTGGGTTTATTTTTTTGTTTAATAAGTGTTTGCTTGTGTCTGAGTTGAATGACTAATCCCAAGCAACAAAAAGCAGGTTATTTATGTCAATTGCTTAACTGCCTAAGCCCGACGAGTAGATTTTAAGTAATGCTTATAGATTATTTCACTAAAAATTAATTGATTTATATTTATTTGATATATTTTATAAGCAAATTAAATTTTAATATTTTGAAATACATATTCACTTGCTTTCTCGACTGATACTTTAGCTGCAAAGTACTAAACAATAACAGGAAAATACTCTCTTATCTTTGATACCTCAAATTTGATACACTCATGCAGACACGAGCTTGTAGTTATAAGAAATAGTCTTTATTTGCCAGATTATTCTTAAATATTATTCTTGATATGTTTTTGTGAATAAGAAGGTACAAAACAGACGCTTCGAATTACTCATTTTGATCAATTTGTTAAGAAAACAGTTCGTCGTTCACAAATTAACAGCCGATTACCTTAAAGAGATGTAATGTAATTAAAAGAACGTTGCAGTTGACTGCATAATATTCTTTTATAGTTAATAACAGTATTATTGGGAACAAGAACATAATTCTATATCATCTATAACATAGCTATATAATTGTGGCTGAATATATATTTAATATATTACTTATGTCTAGCGCGATATTTATTATATATAATTGTAATATCGCTTGCAATATCATATAAATATTTTGCATTCAAGCAAATTATTGTTTGACGATGAAATGGCAGCTTCTTCCGTGTGTTCTGGAACAAATGAAAATGCGACCGCTCGCCTCAAGTTTCAAACTCAAAGTGATCTTGTGGCTGTGACATAAATGTAAAGCATGAGCATGATCATGAGCATGAGCATGAGCTAACATACCAGCTCTCACGAATGCATATTTTATAGCTCTTATTGATCTCTTAAATGCAACTGCAGTCTTAACAGTTCGTTAACAGTAGCCATAGTATTTAGTGAGAGACTTGACTACCTGATCAAAAGCATATGCATAGTAATAGTAGTAAGTAATAGTAGTGGAAAATACCTGTTAAAAGCAATGCACAAACAAGCAAAAACAATATTTTTAGTTCACTATATTTACCTTTATTTCCAGTTCTTTGTTCTTTTGGATTCCTTTTTTAAAAAATGTTTTCAACTGTCTTTGTTGTGCGCATCTTTTCACTTAAAATGCACGTTGTAGTTGTTGACTTTTTGACCTGAGTACAGGGACAAGTTCTATTTAAGGTTGATGGAATGCGCGTAATTCTTTTGATTTGGCAGCACAATTCTGAACAATTGCTGGCCTCCTGCTGCTGCACTGGACTGGAACTAAAGCCGCTGCCATTAGTGAGATTAAAACTATGGCCAAGTCGCTGAAAGAGAGACGGGTAGAACGAGAGAGACGCTCTAGTGGCACTGAGGCATTGCTTTGTTTTAGCTTGAACAATGGGCATATCTCTCGTAATGACGCAATGCGTACTCATATACATTGTGCTCTATAGCACAATTGCCACAGTGTGCCCCCTGCACCTGCCACTGCCCCAGCCTGACTGTGTATATATGTCTATATGCAGTATGAGATATATTGCTGTGCGATGCAGGCATCCATAACAAAACAGTTGACACAAATGCAACGAACAGTGCACTCAGAATGGAGCTTCATTGGAGCTGGCATTGGACTGGTCGGGGGTAGCTTCACAATTTGTTGTCTCTCTAATCTAGCTTTGATGGCTTGACAGCCATTCATACAATTTAGCAGTATAAAATACAGTTCAATTTGTTTAATGCAGCATATTGTCTCATGTCCACAAATCATGGGCCAGCCAACTAGGACCAGACTGCAGTTGCTCTGGCGATTCTGTAATTGACAGTTGAAATGCTAAAATCCCATTTGACATAAGCTCGCATTGGACAACCGTAATTTGTAGTACGCCAAATAATCCAAATTAAACAAGCAGCCATTAATAGTCATCACAATAAATAATGCGGGTTAGGTTGAATTAAATTTAACGCCCACTCTAATCCAGCCAAAAACTCTGGCTGCAAATACGTAAATGCAAAATTTCCGGCTGATTCATTTAACAAAAGTTATCTCACTGCACATTCAGCTTTTGCTATTTTAATCAAATTAAGCTCGATGCGACTACTTAAGCTCATTAAAAGCTTAATTTTGATTTGCTAAAGCTATTAAACACAACCCGTCCACATGATTAATCTAATGGGCTTGTGAAACGATTCAATTGGCTTTTAAAACATTTTTTCATCTGACAGTTTTCCAATAGTATTTCTTGGATTGATAATGTAGTCGTGGAGGTGTAGTTTTATGGAGAGTATCCGACTAGGAATAAATTCAATTAATCAACAATATATGCACCTCGGCAACACATTTTTCTGATCTATTAAATACTCTTTAAAGAGAAATTATATTCAGAATACCTTTGCCTAATATATAAAGCTTTTATAACTGGAGCTTGAATGTATATGAAGTATTCAGTTAAGTAAGTTTGGTATTTGAAAAAATTAATTTTAATTTTGGCGTTTGACGCCAAAAAGTTTCTTTGCTCGACATCAAGCACTTGAGATCCTTTCTTGTGGTGGGCGTGTTCCCAAAAGGTAGGCGGGGTAGTTAACGAAGAAGAAAAAGAAGAAGAAGAAGAGAAATGTGCGCGGTTACAAATTGCTTTGGCTGACTTTGTTGTGGCTTTTGGCCAAGTTTGCTTATTCTTAACGTATTACCTGATTCAATTTGATTACGTATACGTAGCGGGCGACGCGCCGCATGAGTTATGAATCAAATTTAAGTTCCATTTTTGCGTTTGACATTGGCAAAACATTTCCACATTTCAACATTTTCTGGCTTTGCCCACCTCGCAGCACAATCAAATGGCGCTCATATATCTTAGGGCAATACAGCGAGTACACGAGGTAAGCTACCAATAAATGGCTATGGCTATGGCTAGGCTGCAAGCGATGGGCGGCAGGCGGGTGGGTGGAGAAATTGGTTGAAATTGTTTGGCTTGAGCATTGTGCATTTGTTTGCCAGGCAATATGGTCGCCAGCAGTTTTATTAAATTCTTACAAAGGCTTCTACTTCGCGTCCAAAAGAAAAGGCAATAAAAATCATTTAACAAAGTCAAACAACAATAAAAATTAAACTTTGCCGTCAACACAGCAAAAAAAAGCCAAGTTGGATGGGTATAGACGGCTATGCAATGCTTTGTAGGCAGTTGAGGAAAGTCAACGGATGCAGATTTGGCCAGAGTATGTAAAACTGAATACTAAACACTGTAGTAAAGCAGGTAAGTCGACTATGGCTGACTGCGTAATACCCTGTACGCATGGCTTGATGCTTGACAAAGCTTTGTTTCCGCCAAATAATTTTTCTGATAAGAATACTTACTCTAATGTAAGCTTACACTAGTGCAAACTTCAACTAATATACTCGTCTTTAACTGTATAAACAGTGTGTATTAACGTAAAAGTGGAGGCAAAGTTGGCAGCAGCCAAGCATAAAAAGACGCCGAGCAAAGCGCACAGAGCAAAAGGCAAAAGTACATAACAAAAAGAAAATTAAATAATAAATATAAAATATAAATAACGCATAGAATGCGAACTGTTCTCAGTGGAACAGAGCACAACAGCCGCACCAAAGCACACCCAAAAAAAAAGAAACTTTTGCGAAATTAATTTCGAAAATCTGCTGCAACTCCTAAAAGTCATGTGTGTGTTGTGTGTTGTCATCGTCGACAGAGGACAGAGGACAGAGGACGGAGGACGGCAATTTATTATGTCATGCCTCGTCAGGCAGCGGCTGATGAAAAGGCAATGGCTAAGGCAATGGCAAACGTAAAAGGCAATGCCAAAGGCAACGGCATCATCATAAATCAATCCATTTGACGACGGAGCAGTGCGACGAATTTAATTACACTTAAGCGAATCGTTGGCCAAAATGAAAATCGTCGTACATTTTGCCAGCTGTGAGTGTTCCAATTTTCTTCAGTTTCATTCACCTCTTGCCGAAATATAATTCAATTCAATCGATGCAATAATCCTAAGTGCTATTCAGAACGCAGCATGACTTCAACAAAAGGCCGAAGAGGCAGAC